CTCTCCCTCCCATCATACCTACTCGTATCTCTTCCTTCCTCCTAATTCTCCTCTACAATCCTCCCCCCTACCATCCTTCCGCCCCTCTTACCTCCATGCCCCTCTTACCTCCCTTCCCCTCTCCCTCCCTCTCACTTACTTTGGAGAGTTGACCTTCTTGATGGGCAAACCGTTAGGCCTGACAGCCTTCAGGTCACCATGGTGCCCCTGGTCCGCCTGGCCGTTAGATTTGAACCCAGACCCTGCACTGACAGCGTAGACGTCATTGGCAAACACGCTACCCCCTCCACCAGCCTGCAGGTCGAGATGCTGTGCGAGGAGAGCCTCCACGTCATCACTCACGTCACCAGGCAGGATGTTGTTGTAGCCGTTGCTAGGCGACGCCTTGGTTGGGTTGTCACATGGCTCCCCAGCCCCCGCAGTTTGTTGAGACAGTCTGTTGTATTGTGTGGGGGCGGTGGGGGCGGTGGGGGCGGCGGAGGTCAGCTTGTTCTTGGCAGAGTTCTGTGAGACTTTGGGGTTGGTCACTATGCCGTTTCTCTTCCTCCTCATGTCTGGGCTGAGTTTTCCCAGTGAGGCTCGACCCATCATGATCCGAGCTGGGGAGTCGGCGCTAGGGGAAGGGAGAGACTGGTGGGGGTGGGATCCCGTGGTGCTGCTGCTGCTGCTGCTGCTGGAGGTGGTGGTGGTGGACGGGAAGTTGCTGAGGTTGTGGTGGTGATGTTGTCCGCTGGTAGTGGTAGTAGTGGTGTGGGCGGCGTTCGGGTGTGCTGGGTTTCTCTGCCAGACGGGTTCCTCGACAGAGCTCATCATGTCGGCATGAGGGTTAGTGATGATGTTGATGGTGGCGGAGATGCGCTCTTGTTTAGAGGAGCCCCACTTGACCGGCGATGTGGACATGAGGTTGTGGTCACTTGTAACGGACGCCGACGTCGGGGTGTGGTGGGGGTCAGAACTGGTCTGTCGACTGGGCGCTCCAGCGCTTCTGTTTTTATTTTTGTTGTTGTTGTTATTGCTACTGCTGCCGCCAGTGGTGGTGGTGGTAGTGGTGGTGGTAGAGTGTGTAGCGTCCCTGACGGGCGTTGTGCAGGGCGAGTGCACGGGGCTCTGGGGTTCGCTGACGGGCGAGAGTACCCGGCTGATGGGACGAGATCGGTTCTTTCCCATGGAGCATTGCTGTAGTTGTTGTGTGAAGGTGAGACACTCGCGGTCTAGCCTGGAGAGGCCGGACATCTGACCGCTGTGGATGCTGGGGTTGGTCGATGACGTCATGTTGCTGGAGGACTTGGACGAGTTGTTGGAGTGGTAGGACTTCCGGCGGTCAAACGAGGACTCAGGGGAGGTGGTGGAGGGAGGGGGCTGGACGATGACCGTGGTCAGCTCGATGTTGTGTAGGTAACTGGACGTGTGAGACGAACCGGCTGTGGTGCCGTGAGTGGACGAGCCCTGTGTGGTCGAGCCCTGTCCGGTCGTCCCCTGCGTGGTTGATCCTGGGGTGTTCATCTTAATCTCCCCACTGGAGGTGGAGGAGTTACTGCGACTCTTCGCTCCGTTCGGCACCATGGCGCCAAAGTCCTCCAGGATCTTGCACACGTTGAGATGTCCGCTCTTGAGGGCCACCCTGTATGGCGTGCGGCCGAACTGGTCCGCGTGGTTAGGGTTAGCCTGGTAGCTGAGTAACGTCCTCACCACGTCCTCGTGACCCTCCTGAGCGGCGATACAGAGCGCCGTGGCCCCCTGGTTACACGTGTGGTCAACTCTGGCCCCGGCCTCCAGCAGCAGCTTGACCACACACTCGTGACCCTGCCACGACGCGCTCTGGACCGCTGTACGCCGGTCATTGTCCACAGAGTTGACCTTTGCCCCGTGAGTGACCAGCGCCCTGACCACGTCCAGGTTGCCCTGCCACGAGGCCACATGCAGCGCCGTCCTCCCCTCCACGTCCACAGCCTCCAGCTCCGCCCCTCTAGACAGTAACAGGTCGGTCATCTCGCGGCTCCCGTCCAGGGCGATCACGTACAGAGTTGTCCGCCCGTCCGCGTCCTTGTAGTTCATGTCCGCGCCGGCAGACAGGAGCAGCTCCAACACCTGAAGTGGAAGGGGGTGAAATGATTGTGTGTGTGTGTGTGTGTGTGTTTGT